TCGCTTTCATATTGTGCTGCCTGCCTGTCACAGGGTTTGAAATAGCAGTAGAGGTAATGGAGTTTTCTAAAACAGCTTGAAATCTGATGTGTATTTATCACCAGAGAAGATAATCCATTCTCAAAATTTGATTATTCAACACGTTTCTGGGGAGCTTTCTTTTTTTGGAGAATGTTAATATCTGATTTATTGTCAAATAGGTGCTTTCATATTGTGCTGCCTGCCTGTCACAGGGTTTGAAATAGCAGTAGAGGTAATGGAGTTTTCTAAAACAGCTTGAAATCTGATGTGTATTTATCACCAGAGAAGATAATCCATTCTCAAAATTTGATTATTCAACACGTTTCTGGGGAGCTTTCTTTTTTTGGAGAATGTTAATATCTGATTTATTGTCAAATAGGTGGGGGAAAACTAGACCCCAAATTTGTCTGGTAGCAGAAGATTTTCTACTCTACCATATTTTTTTAGGTTTTAGAAGGCCAAGTTTAGATATCCAGTCTCCCCCCAATATTGGTCTACGTCGCAGTGGGCAAGTGGAAGGTGTACGTCAAATGCATCAGAATGCTCCCCGAAGTCAAATTGCCACGGAGCGGGACCTTCAAGCTTGGAAACGAAGAGTGGTTGTACCAGAAATACCACTGTATTTATTCAGGTGTGTGAAAATCTAGCTAGCTCCTATGAAGGGCACCTTTTTTTTTTTAATAAATGAGATTGCTGTCTGTATTATTCCACATTTAATACCTTAATCTCCTTAATTCATCACTATTAGGCCAGCACTAAAATGATCCTCTAGTGCAAACTGAAATTAAATGTTTTCAGTTTTGTTTAAAACTGAGTTGAGAGAAGTCTTTAAAATGAGGATGCAGGGAGAACTAATTAGTTAGAAAATAACTTGTGCAATTTAAGGATTTGCTTCAAACAATGAAGTATGTTCCAAAAGAATTGAAAGGGTAGTTTGGTTCACTGAATTCTCCTAATCTTCCAGAAAAGTGAGGATTATAGGGTTCCATTCACTAATTTAGAAGAAATAAAAAAATATTTTGGGGACTCCTGAGAGACTCCTTTCCTGATACCGCAGACCTGCCAGATCATAGATGTTCTTGGACCAGAGAGCTCCGGGAAAGGGGGACTGGTAGAGGCAGGCCAGAAGGAGGCAGTAGCAGGGAGGGACAGCAGTCTGGGAGGCCAGTGGCAGGGAGCTTCCCTTGATCTGGCAAATTCCCTCATTCGGGACTAGTCAGGTCCTAAGGGTGATGGATCAAGTAGGTCCAATCTGTATTCCTTTTTTTATCATTATTGTGGCTTTTGAAGAATTATGCTGGAAATCTGAGGTGTCTTCTAAGACATACACAGTTGTTAGCTTTAGATTCCCAAACCCCCACTCCTGCAGTTTCCATTGGGAGAATGTATAATAAGAACTGACATCTGTGCTAATTAGAGAAGGAACTAAATACGAAATTTTGTCATTCTACAAAATGTGATGGGGTGTTTCTTGTATTTTTTCTAGTATACTAATTCACCTCAAAGAAATTGTATACAAAAATAACCCTAAGTATTTAGAAATCATAGAATTTCTCTGTCACATTATAACCATTCCAAGAGAGGTTAAAATATGGACATTTAAACTGTCCAATTTGCTAGGTCCAGTGCTGGAATATAAATTATTTTAAAACAAAACCTTTTACTACTCAGTTTACTTTCAGAATTGAGATTGTTTTTGTTTCAAAACTCTCTTCTAGAAAACAGAAGGAGTACCGGATTGCA